GGGGGGGGGGGGGGGGGGGGGGGGGGGGGGGGGGGGGGGGGGGGGGGGGGGGGGGGGGGGGGGGGGGGGGGGGGAGTGAGAAGGCGTTTCGATGACGGTCGTCTTGTCGTTGGACAGCGAAAAAAGGCATCGGGACAGATTGAACTTGGCGTCCACCAATCAGCTGTCTCCATTAAACTTGGCGTCTACTTGGCGTCTTGTCTATTTTCGAGTAACTTTGGTAACCAACCAGCTCAGAGACCAAGACACATCAGCCGGGAACCTGGGCGCTGCAACTGGCGCATACCACACGCCCACATCAGGATAGAACCAGCAGAGGCCAATCTGGTCTCTGTGCACGAAGTTTCGCAACGTGAATCCACACTAAATGTCGACAAGCACGCAGCAGCACCCAGAGGGGAGCTAACAGCGAGGAGAGGGAGCTCGAACACACACGCACACGCGATTATTTATGTCGAGCTACAGCAGACAAGAATACCCACACCCAGGGATCCGTGCATGCTTTTGTATCGTCTGCACGCCCGTCCTCTCGCCCGACCACGCCAAGTAATGCTACAAGCGTGGATTGTGGTTGCAACAGCAACCACGCTAAAGTAACCACACATCAAGAGCGCAGGAGAAAGGGAAAAGTAGGGTATCTGATAGTTCAAGCATGAGAAGAAGGCTACAAAAGTGTCGACCCGAGAATTTCTTGTTAGACTTCCATGTTCCGTTGGTTTTCCGTTTGCTTTTTGCCGCTACCGTCGAGAGTAGCGTACGGGTTGAGGATGAGTTTCCTCGAATGAATCCATGAGAGCGATACCGAAGTTATCCGAAAAGCTGACGGCACACATGTCGCTGAAGAATAGTTGGTTTTATTTCAACGCTCCAACACCTTATGTATCCACCACTCTCTTGGTGTTCTACCCTCTGCTACCTTCTCTCACCTTGCAGTTGTAAGCCCCAGACCTATCGACTGGAAAGCAAAACCCAAGAACATCCACACGCCGAGCTCCGCTCCGGCACGCCACGTTTCCGCAGCAGCAGCAGCACCACCACCACCATCAGCAGCACCCAACTCTCCCCCTTCTTTGTCCCCTACACCTACTTGACCAGTTAAAAGATCAGGGATGGACGGTGTATCTCGGAGCACCCCTGGCGTCCATGGCGAGAAGATCAGCGCCGCGATACCGAACCGGGCAAAGTTTGTCACCCCAGGGCTTAGGTCCTCCTGCAGAATGAGCTTTATCACGGCGTGCTGCGTGCCCCAGAGCAGCGTCACCGCGTTGAGCAGTGCAAGAGGGAGCAATGACGATGCTTCGATTCCTGTTGCCTCTACTCTGTCTGGCGGCTCTGGAGTCGAAGGGTGACTGCTGCTGCTGCTGCTGCTGCTGCTGCTGCTGATGCCTCGCTGTTGAACCCCAACTTCCTCCTCACCAGTCATGACGTTCGTTGGGGGCAGCCAAACATCCTCGGCAGAAGAATCCCGCGCAGCACACAGCAGTAGCACATTTTTTCTTCGGCCACTGCACAGAGCTCGTCGTGGCGCATCGTTGTAGACGGGCGTTTCCCCCAGAGCGGAGGCGACTGCCGTGTTCCTGCGTCGTCGTCGTGGTGCCTTGAAGATGACGTTCGTGCCTTCGCTGTGTCTGGCAACATCCCACAGAGGTGTTGCCGGAGGCCATCGAGACACTTTACTACACGCATGGATATATGATGGCGTTCCGGACCCGGTCACTGCTGTTGCTCCCGCTGCGCTCAGCGCAAGGGTACCCAGCAGGCTTGCCCTCATCCTTCTGTGCGGCCTGACTCTGGACTAGGGGAGGATGAGATGCTGCCCCCGGGGTTCGTACAAACAAAAGGTGCGGAGGGATGTATGTGAGATGTTCGTTTTCGGAACCGGTTGCCGAACCATTTTTTTGCGGCCTCGTTGGCCTCGTCCGCGCTCCAGAGCTCAAGAGGTCCGCGTCATCCACGGCACCAAAGATCTTTTGTATTTTACGGAGAGAAACCTTGCAATCTAGAGTAAGCATGGTGGAAACGGTCAACGATGTATGCAAACAAGATGTGAGGAAGAGAACCTTGAGAATAACGTGGAAAACGGAGAGGCCCACGGACGAGGAATTGCTCGACGCGTTTCGTCCTCTGGGAGACGTTGTTCGTGTACAAGCCAAGGCGAGTCAGTCTATTGTAGATGTACATACTGCTGTAGACTACTTTACCAATCGTCCATTTAGACGATTGGTGTTGTCGTATCGTGGGTTGTGATATTCATCTCCAGATATCCACCTATCCTGGATCATGGATCATGTTCTGTTCAGCTATTGGGAGTGCGACCGTGAGATGGTGATTCGAATACCTCGCTCAAGGGACCCTCCGCGAGGGAGTCGCGGGAAGATCGAACGCGTTTCCGTTGTGTGCCAGAGAAAGCTGCATCAAACAGCACAAGACTCATCCTTCCGGAAATAAACTCTTTATCATCTCTCAAGTTACATTCTCCTGAACTCATTCTCAACAGGAAAGGTGCGCGGTAATACTCTTCGCTTCGGCCGAGCCTGTCCCTGCTGCCGTCGCGTTCGCTACCGCTGCTGTTGAAGACAGCCCATGGAACAACTGGGATGTGCAATCGATGACGGGAATAGTACACATTACAAACGAAACGAGCAAGCTGTCGAGGGAAACGTCAGACGATGAGGGGCCGCGAGCTGACGTCAACGGGCGAAAACACCGGAACACGATTCCACAAGACACACCCATAGACCAAGAAAAGGGCAGCATGGCCCGAGAATGTGTTGAAATTCCATCTGGATCGAAAGACACCGCTCCTGCCATGGATAAGGTACAGAACAAGAGCATGCAGAGAGGAGAATCGAAGACTCGTTCGGAGTCCGATTTCGGAGGCGCCCTCGAGGGGCAGCGCCAGCGCGAAGAGGGTACTCAGAAGCATGTGGAGGAGAAGACCCCAAGTCCGCGAGAAGGCGTAACATCCCACAGCAGTCCTCGAGCCAACGATGCTCTCAGAGATGCGGGTGATATGTTTAGGCACGAGCCGAGCCCTCTTTCGTCTCCAGAGGGACTCGTGGCACCGCGGATGTGGGAAGAGATCAAGGGGGTGGAGCTGGGCGAGACGATCGATGTCGATGGAGCACATGAAGCACGTGGCAGTGGTTCAAACTACGGGGGGGGCGGAGATACATCGTGTCCAAGAACTCCCGGAGATGTCAGAGGAGACGCGTCGGGTGCTGGTGACGACGACCCTGCTCCACAGCTTCTTAATGCGGGTGAAGCAGCACCGTTGGCGACAGGCAAGCGTCCCGAAGCCGCTACACGTCAACAGCCAGAGGATCGAATGCACTCCACGTCTGGCATGAAGACTTCGTCGGCACCAGCAGCAACAACAGATGATGTGGAAGCCGCAGGAACCAACGTAACGTCAAACGAGCAACACATACTGACAGCACGGAGCGGAAACTATTCTTTGGAACAGGGTGACGAAACAAGGGCCTCAGAACACCAGAACACCAGGGACCAGGCAAAGCGACTCGCCCTAGAAGTCGCACGTCTGCGGTCTTCGTTACGTGCCACCACTTCGGAGCTGAACACAGAGCGGTCTACTCGCGTGCGACTAGAGGTCAGAATGCGAATGTTGCCGAACACCTTTCACAGACGGGTTCTCCGCCACAGAAAATTTTCTACCGATATAGTGTAGGAGAGATAGGCCAACGAGAGGGTGGATCGAGCGGCGGGGTCTCCTTGAGGGTCTGCATGTCCGCATGTCCATGACGACAGGCGGCAAAGCAGCGCCGAATATCGGCCGATGATGCCCCGAGGGTCGCACACCCGCCAGCGACATCCTAACTTCCAAAGGCTGTCGAACTGTGCCAAGGATGTCTCTTCCTACATTCTTGTATGCCTGCTCATGGACCATGCCTCTTGTAGTCTATGCTGGTCATCCACAGTTGGTAATTACTCAACTAAGAAAAATTTCGTCTGGGTTTGCCGCAGGACGAGTGGTGGAGACGAATGCAGGAATGGGAGGAGAAGCACGGCTGTCTTGTAGCATCTAAGCAGGAAGCCGAACGGGCAGCAAGAACAGCAGAGGAGGATATGGCGAGACTGCTCGTCAAGGTACGCTAGTGTACACCAACACCACACCCAGCGTTTGGTGTCCCTATAGCGCGCCCGCAACACATATAGTAGGTGCAAAAATCCAGGCCGTAAAACGTACTTTCAAGTCTGGAGCCTCGGTATCGTTTTTTGCAAACCTTATCTGTTCCATGACCCTTGCTACGTCAAAGTCGCTACATCATTTGGTACCCATCACTCCAGCAATTCGAGCCCACCTTCGTGTCCGACCCCTACCATTTTCTCACCGTATGTCCGATTGTGTCTATTGTTGTCCTCACTGTCCGGAACGGCATCGATTGGCAGGAGAAGAACCGTGAGGAGGAGGTCGCGTCGGAGCGTTTGGCCCAAGAATCAAGGCAAGAAAAGGCGGACATCGCGATGAAAGGGGTGGTAACCGTCCAAGATCGCCTCATCCAGGCTTTGCGGACCGAGCTGGAGTTGACCGACAGCGCCAGGCGGGCGGCTCAGGTAATACCCCCGTTGCCCGATGCCCCACCTTCGCTCTGCTGCTCAGTGGAGTAGTGTGCCACGCAGGCTTGCCGCACGTGCAGCGAGAGGCAGCATCATACCTTTGATTGGTGGGGCGGTTAACCTTTACCAAGGCATGAGAATTATCGGCTTGTACCTCCGTTGCTCGTATCAACCAGTCGCGTCCTTACCCTTGAGCATTTCGTCTTGAGAAGAATATTTTCTACTCCTCCCGTGTCGTCCGCGGCGGTTGCAACAACCCATGCAGGATAATGCCCTTGAGGCCAAAGATCAGCTCCGCCTGTACGTCAATGACTTTCTACTCTGGCGCAACCGTGCAAAGCACCTGGAGGCCCTTTTGATAGAGCTGGGCCATGCACCGCAGCCGGGGTTACATGCAGAAATCCCATTGTCGTACGGCTCGCCATCTTCGAAGGAACACAAGCGCCCAGAAGCCCCCCAGCGACAAAACGTTGATGACAAAGAACAAGAAGTGGATCCAAGGACACCTGTTGCAAAGGGGCCAGTTGAGTACGGTGGTAGCATGCAGGCGGGCGACGACGCTAATGGTCTGTCGATTCCCGAGAAGTACGCACGATACTTCGAAACCACCACGGGCGGATACTCCGCCCCACCTTCGAACGCGGCCTATTCAGGCACGCAAAGGATAGAAGGTTCAGAGCTAGATTCGGAGACTGCAAGGGCTGCGGCAGCGTGGTCCACGCGGGCGGCGATGACGGAATTATCCTCCTCTTCCTCTTCGTCTCAGGCATACTTCCAGCGGTCAATGAAGGCTCAGCAAGAGATCTCCTTCCGACTCGGGAAAGACCTGGCGAGAGCCCGCGCCGACTTACAGTCGATCTACGAGAGCAACGAGGCAAAGGCCAGGCGTGGCGGCGGCGAGACTTCAACGTACCGCGCCAGCTTGCCGCATGAAACCGACGGGAAAAGTAAGGCTGCCTCGTCGAAAAGAGCGCAGCGTAATGGAACAGGAAGAAAGGTCGGTGATAGTCCATCCCGTGAGGACAAGCGCCGAGTTCAAGACCGGACAGCAGTGCAAGGCGTAGCGACACAAGATAACGTCAGCGCTCCCGCCGCTAGCTTTCCCGAAGGCTCGCACATGGCCCGAGTACTGGCAGTTTTGCTCGGCGAAGACTCCACCGTCAATGGGACGGGAGTAGCGGGGTTGTCGGACGCATCGCCCCCTTCTTTGCGCTTGACCGACTACCCTCAGATGCTTCAGGCGGTGTTCGGCGGGGGACCAGAAGAATCTCTTCAGGATTCTGCTGTGACCCACAGGCGACGCGTCATGGTCTCAGAGGCACCGCAGCGTGGACAAACTGGACAAGGTTATGACGAAGGGCGGTTTCCAAGACAACCTCGGTCGCACAGCCGCACCCTCACCGAAGGGAAACGGCAAGCTCGAACCATACTGAGTCACGCTCGAGCCGACAGAAGACATGGACCTGGTGCTACAGAGAGGAGTACACACGTACACGCCCACAACAGAGTTTGTGGTGGCAATGGTGGCACGGGAAATGCAGGCTGTCGGCCACAGGACAAGGCTGCGGTGGAGGGAGCGTCCGGGATACCTGATGACGTGGACCCCGCGGGGGGGAGAGAGAGCCGCTCGTTAGCTACAGCCTTCCGCGGGTACGAGGCGAAGAGCTCCCTTCTCCAAAGGTGGCTGGGCGAAAAAAGATCCCCGTCTCCGTCTCCCTTTCGGGCAATGCCCGTTACAAATGACTCGTTGCCACGTGGTGCGTTTGCAAATGACCACTCGACGGTTTCTCAGGGTGCGTCATCTCAACATCGTCGAGAATGACTCGTCTTGGGTACCAACTTGGCCGAAGATGTATGTGTTGAGGATATCGTGATCGCCGGATCGCGAACGAAAAGATTACAAGAAGCCTGCCAACGAGACTGGATCCACCCATGGCCGCTGCTCATGATGTGGATCAGTTGGATCGGTCGATGAAATCGAAAGAGTTGCACACTGGTGGATTCGGCTCACCACCTTCGCCGCTCGTTAATCAACCTCATGTTGTGCCCAGACGGGTCAAAGACCGTTATAGGCAGTCGATGGTACTACAGGATAGCCCGTGCTTCTATGAGTACAGCAGTGCCGCATGGGTTCTACGTACCCGACATACTGAGATAAAAATAACCACGCCCTTCATTTCTATTTGTGGCGCGATCACCGCTACGTAGGAGACGTCCCGTAGCAGAAAGAGCTGGAAACAAGCAAATACCTTATTAATAGATACGGTATTGGTCGACCACAAGCATTTTCGACCAAAATACCCTGTCAACACAAAACCGGCACCGCTCTTGAGGAGGTCAAGGGCGAAGCTCCTTGACACAAAGCGCAGGCATCTCCCGAGCGTGTGTACGTCGAAAACACCCACTGACGGCGTCTGAGGGTCCTGCGATATATTTACAGAGGGGGCAGGCCAACTCCAACGACCGCGTCACGCGGCCCAACATGTGGCCATCCGCTCACTTCTTGTACCAAGGTGTGAGGACGATTTCTACTGGTACACAAAAACTCTTCCCCTGTACACTATGAAACCCGCATTCAACATGAAACCAGACTTGACGCCACAGATTGCAAAATAATAAAAAATGTCGTGGTGGACTCCCACGTGGCGCTCAACACGCGGGTTGTGTACGGTAGTAAGACCTTCTCGGTAGTCCCACGGCATCTACAACACGGCACAACACCCGGTTCATCCAGCCGAAAACGACTTCGATTTCATCGAATCTTCAGCCCCCCATAAACTCCGCAGAACAACCGCAACCCAGACAAGGGCTTGAAAGTTTTCACACAAGACAAACAAAAAACAGGTTCTAATCGGGGTTACACACGCAACACAAACGTTTAGTGTCACCCGAAGCTTCCCCAAGGCCCCGTGGTGATTGATACCTTTACCCTCCTCCTCCTTCTCGCTACACGTCCTTCGACTTCTCTTGCCCAGGGTTCTCGCCGGCAACCGCCCCCAACTCACCCCCCGGCAACCCGTCCATATCCGCCACCGCCTCGACCTCCGCCGCCTCCTCCTCCTCCTCATCCGCGGCTGGCGCAGCATCGGCTTCCTCTTCCCAGTCTTCGCCGTCTTCGTAGTCATCGTCGGCGAGGTCCTCCCTGCTGCCCCCGCTGGAGGCCGACAGCATCTGCCCTCCCGCCGCGATGCCGTCCTCACCGCTGCGCAGGCGCTCGCGTTCCCTCTGCATGGTGGCCTTCACGACCAGGGCCTCGGCCTTCGCCGCCGACTCCGCCTCCATGGACTGCCAGTACCTCCTAGAGAAGACCTCGATGTAGTAGTTGGAGCTGTCGGTCGCAAACGGTGCCAGGATGGCGCGGGACACGCGGGGGAGAGGGCGTCGGATATTTATGGTTGCGTGTATCAGCGAGAGGAACAGGGCGAGGCTAGCGAAAGTTTCGGCAGTGGCAGTTCCTTTTGGATTCCTGGGCTTTGGCGGCGGTGGAAATCACCACCAAGGGCAGCAACGCCGGGAAATGCTCCACATACGTTGCTAACCTCAGACCTCCTTTGACTTGTACAGATATCTCCTGCCCTGCCCCACTTTCACGTCCATGAGTATACAACCCAAACCCGCCGGCAACATCACGGATGCGCCGGCAACACATGTCCTCGGCCACACCATGTGGTGGCAAACAACGAGAGCCCGAAGGAGCAAAGAAAAAAAGACACGCACACTGCACACACCTGTTCCACAACGCGCAGAGGAAAACGAAGAACGCCAGCGAAGTGGACGCCCACTTGGAGTTATAGAGGAACGGCGTCGGCAGGGAGACCAGCACCGTGAAGACCAGCTGCGAGCCCATGAAGATCATCTTGGTCTTGAAGGTCGTCGGGTCGAAGGTCTCGTCCTTCTTGAACATGCCGATCTTCCGCATCAGGGCCAGGACGATCTTGTGCATGGGGTTGGAGGGGCTCGTGGTGAGCCACCGCAAGCTCGTCTGTATCTCGGGGTCCGCGTCAAGCTTGGGCTGTACAAGTACATAGCGCGATATGGGCAGCAGCACACGTAAGTTGAGGGAGGATACCAGAAAGGGGAGGTGCGCAGTGAGCGGGGAATAGCCAGAGAGGGAAAGGGATGGAGGAGGTATAGGCGACCACACTGAACAGCTTTCGATGGACGATGCCGCCAGCGGCTACGGCGGGATGACGCGGCGGGGGGAGAGTACTAACACCTAGATCGGACAACGCAACAAGCCTGTGAGAACTGGTTTATGCGACAAAATGTAGCGCCGTTTGGAAGGGCTACAAACAGGCACATAGCAGTGTCGCGTATTTGGGGGGAAAGTGGTCGTACACGTAGTGACGTACGGCTGTGCGGCGGCACTTCTCACGACGTTCTACAGGCACGCCCAAGGAGGGGTACGTCCAAGAAAGTTTCACAATAAATATATATATATATATCTACGAGGATTCTCGTTTCATGAACGAAGGGCACACACCTTATCCGCGATCTCGGTCTTGAAGAAGTACAGCACCTGCCACGCCAGGTACATGGCCATGGCCGTCCCCACGTCCCTCATGTCGATACCATCCTGGCACTCCGGCTCCGCGCCGGCGGTGCCCCCACGCATGGGATCAAGGGGATACCACCGCAGGGTCAGAGCGAGCCAGCTCGGGAACAGGTGGATGAAGCACGATGTCATCTGCATCGTCCCACCGAGGGAGGAATTGGAGAGGGAAGACAGCAAGCAAGGGCGCATCGAAATCCAGCCCGTCAAACAGAGACAGATGGAAATGCAGACTCAGAGCAGTCCGTAAACAAAGGACAGGTGGAGAGGCAGACTCGATCAAGCAGTCCGACTTCGTCGGGAAGACGGGGTCCTTCGCAGCTACGTGTATGCACACCCGGGGACAAGGCATTCTTCGCCCAAGTCCATGTCCGACAACAGTGGTCGTGCTTGTCCTTTCGAAAAGAGCGGCTTCACGAGTGAGTGACTGCTGCAATTCCACAACGTTTATCAGATACGCGGACCAGTTGAAGAGGAGACCGCGGCTTGTTTCGTGAAACGAGAGGGTTTCAAAAAAGATACTCAAACCTGCAATAAACGACAGGTATGTTTTTCTTTTTGACGTCTTGCGCTACATGTGCGTGCTGTGAGGCGGAAATATCGTCCGGCGGCAGGCAAAACCTGCGAGCGACAGTAAGGAATAGGACGCTGCGAAAGGGCCAACTGAAAAAAAATGTTGCAGTGGTGGCAAAAAGACAGGGGGGAGGGAGGGAGGGAGGGCGGGCGGGAGGGCGGCTTGATGGCGTGTAGAGATCAACACCGAGGAGACAAAAAACGCGCCATACCTTGTCCACGTCATGGAAAACCAGGCTGTTCCTCCACAGCGGCACCGCCCACAGGAGAGAACCCATCACGAATATGAAGATAGATTTGAGAAGGCGGCAGCTGTGCGGCATCACGAAGATGGCTACCATACACCAGAACTGGAAAGACAGCAAAATAAAAAAAGTAAAAAAAAACGGAGTGAGCATTGGTCAAACCTTTCTGTTTTTGTTTCTCTGCAGCTGCTCTTCTAGCGGGCTTTGCTGGTAACGAAAGCACCTCGTCACCTTTCGGTCGAACGGCGCCTGTTACGGCACAACGACTGCCGCGAAAAATGCTGTACTCGGTGGTCTTCCCACCGGGAAAGCCGACGCCGTCGCAGAAGTATGTCACTCACGACATGTCTGCGGCAACAGTGAGTGGTACGACCACACCTTCGTATTTCCGCGGCAACCTGACCCAAACGCACGCTGACTCACATGCCACGCAGTTACGTTTGGTGGGTTTTGGGCGCGCGTCTCTCTTTGGCTTCTGCGTCTGATGCCCATGCCATCTGTTTCTTATTGCAATTGTTCGTGTTGGCCATGACCCCCTCCTTCTACAGCAGCCGACAACAGCAGTACCAAGAAGGACATGGCATGGCATCACATGGCATGACATGGCACACACACGAGACAAGAACAAAAACAGAGAGACGCAAAGCTCGAGGAGGAGAGGAAGGTAACCCGATCTAACGTGCCCGTTGGGTGTCCCTACCCCTAACACCACCACCATCGCCCCACCGGATATAAATGAAGACTCCGACCCAATCCACCCACACACATGTTGCGAGGTCTACACGCGTAGCAATCCTTGAAGATCCTGCTCAAGACTCACTCGTTAAACATTATCTTGCAATAACGGCAAGGGGAGCGGAACCTCCTCCAGAGGGGGGCTACCAACACTCATCCCCTGCTGCAATTCTATCCGAAGAAGTTGCAATATACCCGTCAAGCATAGCAACCTTACCTAGAGCTACCGTTCAAGCCCTTGCACTCGAATCCAACAACAAACATGCCAGGGGGCGGCTACACAACTCGCCTGAACGTAGTAGCAGAAGTCGTAGTAGAAGAAGAGCCACTTTCGCTGCCGGTAGTCCGGATACCGCATGAGCAGCAGCACCGGGACCATCACCGAGTACCACAGCCAGAACCGTTCCGGCATCATCAGCAGCACATACTCGCTCACGATCATCGTGAGCACCTGGGTCCAGAAGTGATCCATGCAGAACGGTAGGATGCAAAACACAAAAATAACAAAGCCGACTAAGTACAACGCCTTCGGCAGACCATGAGGAAACGAGTAGAAGTTGCGCGGGCAGCTGCAAACCTAGCTTTATGTCGTCAAGCAAGCACATATAACACGGATGCCATAAACCAAATTGGGTAACACCTGACCCTAAGTTTGCTAGCTCAGCTCCTGGCCCCTCGCCACATCAAGCAAAATCATTTGCACGCTGTCGAGCTTGCGGTACTGCTGAGCCTGCGCCTCTCGTTATTTCACCTCAACATGTCTCGGACGACAGATATGCCCGGTGAAATCGACGCGAATCGCGAAAAACAAACCCCACTCCTATCCCCACCCGATGAAAAATACGGCGAGGAGCACAAGAGTACGCCCCACTCCGTTCCCTGGTCTCGGTTCCGCTTCGTCATGTCCCTGCCCCTTCTCCTCCCTTTGTTCCTTTCACCCCCTGCCTTTACACTGCTGTGTCTTCGTTACCTTTTCATCCCTTACCCGCTCTTCCGTACCCCCCCCCGGCTCGCCCTATCAGCCATGCGACCCACCGACCGGCCGCTGTTGGGTTTCGTTCGGTTTCGTTTCTCAACTCACCCCAACGGTGAAGGCCGCCTTGTCCAGCATGCGCATCGCGAACGGCTTGCTCCTCTTCTCCTCCAGGTGCAGCCTCACGCTCTTCAAAGGGTCGCCAGTCACCGCCTGCAAAACGCCCACCAACCCACCCACCCAAACCAACCAGCACAGACAGGTCGTTAGGACCCAAGACTACATACCGGTGTAATTTCTCTCTCCATCACGGGGCCCCCGAACTACACCCCCCACGCATGCAGGACCTACCCACACGAACACCGACACCAGGCGGACACTGTCAACCGGGGGTGGGACGACCGCTGTTGAACCTGAACGCGTCTGCATTGAGTCCTGTCTCCGTTCACCGACGTGCTTGTTACCCCGTGCCGATACAGCAGTTCGCGTTTGAAGCGCTGGAGACAACAATTTGTAACGGAACCCCAAAGCTGCTCAATCGCTGGGTTGGTTTCTACAAGCAAAATAGAAAAACGGCGAGTGGTCAACGCATGCGCCGGAGTAGTTGACAATGGGCTGACTTTGCAGATGGGTAGCCTCATACGCTACGGCTTGTCGTTTTCCTGACTTTCCTTCCTCCCGCGCGACTTCCCTCACCTTTCGAATCTTTCCGTGAAACTGCCGACGGCGCTTGTCCAAGGGGGCGGTGATCTGAAAGACACACAGCGAGACGACGCCGACGACGGGCGAATGGCGATTAAAGGAATCGCATAACAAAGGGCCGATCCACGAATGAGTTTTGCAGGCGGTAGGACGCATACACACTGGGGTATCCTATGCCGTTCAATAATTGGCACGTCGCAACGACTACAACACCCCGGAACAAACACCCAGCCAATGCCTTGGCAATCGAGGTACGAGGGATTCGTGCGGAGGGCCACCGTCTCACCTCACGCTATCGTGGCGCACACTCTTCCGTCTTCCTTCGCGCCCGTCTAGGGCCTCTCAAAGAAACGCTCGTCGCCTGGCCGCTTTTCGCGGCGTTGGCAAAGTACTAACTTAACGCGTTTACATCAAATGTTGCATGATCACGCATAAGGTTATGGACATAACAGCGACGCCACACAAGGGGAGGTTGTGAAACGCGCTTGCTTGCCTACCTTGAACTGAAGCCTGCGAGGTGCCTTGGAGGTTTCTTCTATGAGGGAGTCGAGCCGCTGCCGTTGTCGATTGATGATTTTCTGCACGATACGATACAGCAGGTAGGCGCACGAGCGAGGGCATGAGACCGGAAAGAACTTGCGTGCATAGAGGAGAGAGAAATATGTTTTACGATTTTTCTCACCGAAACAAAACAGAATCGTCTGTATCTACAGATGGGAGGTTTTGTCGTGAGGACGATCAGACCAGACAACCAAACTTGCGGGCTCGTTCTTCACCGAAAAACCTCAATACTAATGCTAACCATCTCAACCGCCTGGGATTTGCAGATTTGCAACGACAGCTGGCACTTTTGGGGGGGGAATTGAATTTGGAACTACGTGTGCGCAATACTGCAAACTGTTGAGACAATCGAGAGAGGCAAGGAGGACGATCATCCTGATAGATATGCATCCTGATAGAGATGCTAACCGGGAAATGGGCTATAGATACAGCAGCGCTGCCGTTACGTTTTGCGGCAATGGGATAATAGGAATGTCTTGACAGCTCGCCCAGTGCATAACGAACGCCCTTGCCGGCCAGTATTAAGCATTTGACACTTTCGCGAGCAGCGCCTTCGTTGGACGTCTTTGTTCGCGTGGTGCTGTAGAGCCTACAGCAGTAGCAAGTGGTAGCCTACAGCAGTATGAAGTACTGACACGTGTACCAACCGTCCCCGAAAGATATCTTTCTTATGAAGCCGAAGTACAACAAGAGCAATACGATACCTGGCACCGGCACCAAGACAAACAACGCGTGTGCAAACGAAAAAAAACACTGCTGCTGTGGTAAGCAGGCCAAGAACTCATGAGTCAGGACTACAAAAAGGGAACTACAAGCTAATCCAATAGCTAATGAAGCTCAGTTGCCTCCAGCCCATACCCGCGTACTAAGCTCGTTTCGGCGATTTCTTGGTAAGAAAAGAATGTGGAATGTTCCCTTTTGCGCAACCTCGTGTGCTCGTGTGCAAAGTTTCCAAATCGGTCCAGGGGGTAACAAAACAAATATGAAACAGAAACGACCGCGCAATATGAACTCATACTCATGGCAAACAGATTACCGAAGGAGAGGTACGCTGCGGCAGCGAGGTCATCCAGGGACCGACACAGAGCCAGCTTTGGTTGTTGACGTGCTGTGCACATCATCAAACCGAGCTGTACACATGGCGTGCCAAGCCATTAATTATTTCACGACATTGTCAACCAAGCACACACACCTTGACTTTCTCGCTGACTCCGTCCGCCTCCGCGGCCAGGCTCGACAGCTCGTCGTTGATGACACGCAGGAGGCGCTCTTTCACCGGCGGCGTCACCCTCCTGAAGCTCCGCGAGAGGCCACGGGCAAAAGAGGTGTCTTGTTCTCGGGAGTCGCTCGACTCGTCTCCGAGCAAGTCAAACGCCATGGACTTGTCGTCCTCTTGTCCGTACGTCACCATGGCTGATCAAGCACGGGACACGCACCCGCCCCCTTCCCCCGTTTGGCTACCCGTCCCTCTTCGTTTTGCTCTCTGGCCCTGCTCTCTGTGACCTGCTGGTGGTTGACCTGCCTCGCACATGCGTCTTCGGGGTCCTAAAGTTCCAAAGTTCCGTAAGTTATCAACGGAACGTGTGGCAATTCCGCCGCGTTTTCTCTTCGGCGTACCCCCTTCCTTGCCTTTCACATATCGTTGGGGCAGGCACTTGGCGTTGATTGTGTCTCGTGTCCCGTGAGGTGGCCTGCAGATATGCAGATGGACTGGGTACAGGAGCACTGCGATCGGTTGAGATCAAAGTTGCAGGGTGTAGTCGACAGCGGTGCTTCCTCTGGCGAGCTGGGACTACGGGTGCCTTGGAGCTGGACTTGCAGGTGGTCACACGTTAGTCTACAGCAGTACATTTGGCCTACTCTCGTACCATTTCATAGGGACATAAGGACATGCATTGGCATTGCTCTGACCTTTCTACGGACCAGAGCACATGTGATCCAACACAAGAAGGATACCTCGGCAGCATAGTTGCGTCGTCATTGTACGGTGGAGCTGGGCAACAAACCTAGATGTTGGGGCGTCACCCAATCCTCAAAATCAAAATTTCAAACTGTCACAATCATCCGCCCTTTCCTCCTGCTGTGCTGTGCGATTGCTCGCTCTTAGCAGGACACTCATCGAGACGGTCAGGAGGTACCCTTCAGGCCTAACTGAGGCCGTTATCTTGGCGGAACTTGAGCTCCTATGGTAAGAATCACGGCGAACCCCCCCCCCCTTTTCTTGCGTGGCCATATTGGCATGCTTGTTGTAGACCTCGCGTCTGCACACAATTTTTCGTACAACCAGGAGGATCTGTGTACTTGGTGCTTGATTCATACCTACCCCGCACCTCGGCTTGTCGAGCTCTCTTTGGTGTTAGTTGTACAAGAGCGCCATCTGCAGCCCACGTGTTTATGCGCATATTGCGCACCCCCTTTCTCATCTTCCAACGCCAAGTATTTCTCACGTGACCGTGTGTGAGAGCCCTGCTGCTACATACAGTACCAGCGGTAGCTGCTGTGCCGGCCAGCACATGAGAAACGTGTCTGCGACGATCATTCGGATGAGGTTTCGAAACAATGACGAGCTATGGGAGCCTCAGCTCCGAAGGTTTTGCACTGCACACTGCTTAATGCAGTTGGCTGCCACACAAGACGCTCAGGCTGAGCCAGATTATCTTCAGCGATCCGGGTTGCTATTTACGTCTGCTGTATTGTCATAGCGAAGCAGGCCATGGTGAACCACAGCGTCGCTTGCGACCACTAGACCATGACACGAATGTGCCGTGGATTTTTTTGGTATCCGCGCCGCCGGACTCTCGTGTGCGTGCGCATGTGTGTTGTGTCTTTTTTTTCTGGAGCGAAGGCGGAGGGACGTGCGAGGCGCCTTCGTGCCTGGAAAGCTTCAGGCCTATCTCGATGCGCAGTACGCCCCGCTGTCGGACGTCATCCAGGCGTGCGTCGTTCGCCACTCTGACCAACTGGTGAGAGCGAGACAACCAAGCTTTGTACACAATCACAGGGCGCTAAGCGTGCAATGTACGACCGCATGTTTTAGCAGAGAGGACGGGTATCCACACCTAAGCTCTCGAAAGACATTGGAGCCCCGGACGCTAGTATCATACTATGCACACACTAGTTAGTGCTGTTGTCCCAGTGACGTCGTTTGCCGAAACGCAGCTCGACATCAGTTGTTTCGAATCGTGTGTAGGCTACGGAGCATGTTCGATATATATCGTGCCCCGTGATGTAGGAAAATCCACCGTATTCACTTGCTCCTCCCCCAATATGCATACAAACACCCTACTGTCTGCGACAAGGGAAGCGCGTGGACCTCCAGACCCACTTTGAAGGAGGATTTGAGCTTCTCTTTTGCTGCTGCTGTTGCTGATGCTGATGGGAGCTTCTGCTCTCACACGTACACACCTCTTGCTCAAGTCGCACGCATATTCCCATGCATGATTCGCTCCACACACTTCCACGGGCAGGTAACGCTTGTGGAGGACCACTCCTGCAGTGTATCGAGCAACCTGTCTCCCGCCAAGGTGGACATGTATCTGCACCAAAACTTCAAGCCTTGCTTACGGTACGCGCAGGGCGTCGGCCACGACCTGCTGGCGCCGGGGCGGAAAGTACGCCTCACCGGGTACGTTCAAGCCTGTGTTGTGCCCCTTCCCCCCCCCCGCAACGCGCGCCCGTTTTCTCTCGTTGAGCGAATGAATGTCCCCGAAAATCGGGATGGTTTGATGTGTTTCTTCTGCGAGTGATCGATTGGCGCTTACAGCAGAGCATGATGGTGACACCGCCAACACGAAACCGGGCTAATGTTTCGATAGTCTGCCCTACGTAGAGATCTTGTTCCTGGCGTCAGGGCAAAACGTAGGTGCTTGCTTCGAGCAGTTGGTAGTGTGCGCCCATGTCTTTGCCCGGCCTGTGACCCTACGTTTTCGTGTCACATCGTTGTAACATTGACTCAAGCATGTTTTTTCATCGCCCGACCACACATCTCGCCAAACCGAAAGGGGGCGGTCATGCCTCTTTGTGTTGTTTGCCCTTTGCTGTCTGTGCTGCTCTCCAACCCATCCAAGACTTGTTGACAGAGCAGCAAACGCCTCGTCTGCTGTTGTTGTTGTTGCTTTTGGCGGTTGTCGTCTCGGCAACAGGTGCCGATTGCTGACGGGGGCCGCCGCTGCCGTGACCGGGGGCGGTGGCCGTGCCGGTGGCGGGGAAGGAGGGCGGAGATCCCCGAACTGCGGCGGGCCCTCGACTCTGCTGCTGACCGAGTACCTCGCCTTCGTGCTTGACCACAGGAGGTCGGACGACCTCAGGCTCGCGCAGGGCATGTTCGGTGGGTGTTCGCTGGCTTCTCGTGTTTCCACAGCAACAACAACGATAGGATTTCCCCATTCGGGGCTTTTTTCATGGCGGTACGGAGACCATGCCGTTTTTGGCTCACGGAGCTCGCGTTTGCATGTTCGTTACGCCCACCCGCAGTTTGTTAGCTGTCTCTTCTTAGTTCATCGTTACCTGTTTCTACATCTTTTGACATTAAGAAGTTTGGTCGCATCTTCGCTGGATGATCGCGAGCGGGGGGGGCGGGGGCGGGAGGGGGGTGCCGCCGGTATCTTGTATCTGCACCCCCTACACTGTTCCTGTCACCNGGGGGGGGGGGGGGGGGGCCCCCGCCGGTATCTTGTATCTGCACCCCCTACACTGTTCCTGTCACCGCTTGCCCCGATCTCCCCGATCTCACACCCAACACCAACCCACCCACGGTTCACCAGGTGGGCAACGTGTGAAAAACACCTTCGAAGAGAAGTCCAACTATGAGGAATTCTTCGTGATATGCAAGGTGCGCTTCATGGTGCTCCGCTTTCATGTAGCGCCCCCGCCTCCGCTGACCGTGCGAGTGGTAGTGCCGCTATCTAGCACCATGCCTGGGACGTGAGCGCACCCTCCGCGTGTAATACTATATTGTCGTCCGCAGCCGCTCGCGTTAAACAAACAGTGGAATCAACCTTCGAATGCCTCTCTCTTTTCTGGGAACAGCGCTTCCCTTGTTTTTTTGTGTCTTGGCGTGAGGCGAAAGCCAACTAAATATACGGCACCGATATGGTACAGTAGGTTGTTCAGTTACCTTAAAAACAAGGGTTTGCTTCTGGCTATCTCGCGAACCGCCTGCCGAGTGATTTTTTACCCCACGGCCCTCCCTCATCACTGTTACTGTTTGCACACGATCCCCCACGTGTTACGCGCCGGACAATACAACGCCAAAGGTGCTTGAAATCCGCCGGCCGCGGCAGTACAGCAGCACGTCCGGCGAGGGCCACCAACCGCGGAAGAGACGCCAGACGCTGCAGACGGTGGTGCTGGAGTGTGCCGCAAATCCTAGGGCGGGTGGGCAGCAGCAGCAGCAGCAGCAGCAGGAGCAGCAGCAGGGGCGAAAACAACAGCATCGGCGAGGAGAGGTGGGGGGCGAGGACGACGGCAGCAGCAGCAGCAGCAGCAGAGAGACTGTCCTCTTTCACCTCTGGGACGAGCAGACGTGCCTCACCTCCCTCTTCCGGAAGGGCGACGGCCTTGGGGTGTACTGGCCGTGGCTTGTGCGGGAACAGCAGCCGCGGAGCAGCGGGGGCGACCAAGGCTCAGCGGCGGCGCCGGGAGGGCTGCCTTCTCAGCAGCAACTTGTTTCTTCTCAGGTAAAAGTTTACAACCGCGCGAAAGAAGCAGCGTTGAATTCGGGTGTTGACCCACGAGGTTGTGGGTTCGCGTGCTTGTTGGTGTTGAACGTCAGTGCCGGTCTTGGGTTTCGAGTACTTCGGCGTGCAAGTCCTGCCAGGCGTTCTGGTAGGAAGACGTTTTATCCAAAAGCAGATCGTTTGACAGTTTTTCTTGTAGCCCCTGTCGGTAGTTCTTCATTCCTCGGGCTTAGCGCTCGACAGGTCAACTGCTGTGTTGCACTTTCCTCTCCTCTGTGGTGACGGTCTCTAAATCAACCTCGGGCCTGCGTTCCTCCTTCGACGGTATCGACCTCAACACACCGGCAACATTCGCTCGACTTTCCTCCTGCATGGTACCGGCCGTCGACTCCGCCGCCCCCGAGGAATATTGATACCCTTGCACGCTTCCATCACACGGCGCTAGGTTCACCGCGGTGATGTCCAACCCAATAATCCCACGTCCCTCTGGACTTTTAATCCCGCATACATTCGAAACATTCCTAACCTGCCACCACCACCGCCACGTGCTGATCGATCGGGTTCTCGCCGGCGAACCTTAGCTCCCATTGCCTCGCGCTTCCTCCGGGTGGCACTTCGAGTACGGCTCGGCGACGGCTCTCTTCGTGCTGCCGCGGGAGAGCCGAGCCCAGCTGTTTTCAGCCGCCAACGAGGACAGCAACGGCGACGGATTTTCGACGGGCGGGCCCGGCGTAGAATCCAGGTCTTCTGGCGGCGGTGGTGGTAGTGGCAACAGCGGTGGCGGTGTTGTTGCTTCGCGGAAGGCGTTCTCTCGGGGCGCCGTGGTGAATGGAAGGGGGAGGGGGGGCACCGTGGGCGCGGTGCACGAGATGCCCATCGATGAAAACGGCGTGCGAGACGTGTTGCAGGTGAGGAAGGAAGGCTTCGCTACCAGCCAAACTGGCGAGTGACTTGTTCTTCGTCTTGGTATTATAGGAAAAAAAAAACTTCTAGGTATAGCAGCCTGCACGATCGGTGTGTACGGGGTAGGTGCAGATTCGCCGTCCATTTCGGCGTTCGCGCTGGTCCCACAAGCACACCCTCCAGAAATCATATCGAACGCCCTCGCCGAAGCGTCGTTTTTGCCGTGCGTCCTTGTGCCCCCATCCCTCCTCTCCCATCCCCTCCACACCCTCCCCCCCTCCCTCTTTCCTTCTATGCTAACGCTACCTTGACCACCCTTGTGCACACTATTCGCCTACGCTACATCTTTCCCTTGCTCTTCCCGCATGCCGTGTGCCTGCGGCACGTTACCGTTGCTCCCAGTTTCCGCGGCGACTGTTCGTGACGGACCTGGCGCCCAACCTGTCCAACGCGTCGATCTACGGCCAGGTTGTTTCCGTGGCCTCCGTTCCGGGATCCTCCCTGCCTGCGATCCTGCCCCCTTCTCGTGGCATGTCGTCGTTATCATCGTCCCTATCGCAGCTGCCGTTGAAGCCCGTGATGCTCATGCAGCAGGAGCTGCAGCAGCTGCAGCAGCAGGAGTCTGGCATGGGCTTGGTGGCGGGGCGGGGGGCAGCAGCTGCTGCTGCTGCTGCTGCAAAGGTCGTTGAGCTCTTGATAAGGGACGACAGGGGCACGGCGCGCGTGCTGTGCTGCGGACGCAAGGCTGCTGCCGACGCGCTTCGATGTCGGTGAGCGCTGGACGTTGGCGAGGTCTGTCGTTTCCCCTTTTGGGCTCGCACACATCATGTACCGTTCGTCATTTAGTACTCAAGTACGTCGTGCGTCGCTCGTGGTAGGCGCGCAAAAGGAGTGACGGCGTGGCGAAGTCTTGAACCGTGTCGCAACATGCGTGTCGGTCGGGGTCGATTTGCCACTTACCCACTTACATACTCATAATACATAATATATAAATACTCATAATACATAATACATACATACACATATACATATATACATACAAACGTACGTACACATATACACAAGGCTGGTACGAATCTATTGTGTTGACGCGTCCGCACATGCCTACGTACTCATGCGCCGCGGTTTTTCTCTCGCTGTTTCGTGGTCCCAGGCCTGGCCAGTATGTTCTCGTGTGCGGACTCCGCACCTTCGCGGCGGCCTTCCCGCCTTCGGATGATTCCGAACAAGGGCCGGACGGCCATGTGGTCGTGCTCTGTGGAGAAGCGGAAGACATGTCCCGCGAAGATGCGGCTGCAACAACGGGCGCAGAAGGGAGAGCAGCGGCAGGGGCGCGGGCGGGGGAAGCGGGAGGGGGCGGAGATAGTGTAAGCGGGGTGCTGAATACATCCAGCCTAGAGGTACGCGAACACGAGTCATCTCTCGCTTGACGTGAAGTTGTTGTTTTTGTTGTTGGTGGTTTATCTTCACACTTTTATCCGATCTGGCTACAACGCTCAGAACCTTCTTATGTCCCAAGTGCATGTCTGTCGGGTCGCATGACGCTGGGAAGTGGAGACGTTGTGCGGCTGCGTCCTTCGGGTCGCGATAGAAGACAGGCACTCCACGATGTTCCGAGAAGCGATTCGCAACACCATTTCAGACGGCTGGACGCTCGCTTCAGTAACACATCAATGTCCCCAGCGTTTGATTTCTAGACCGTTAGACCTTGGCTGTCCTCCGACCTCGTAATGGCATGACACGACGATGTTTAGCGTTTTCAGCTACCCTTCCGAAGTGTCGATTTTCACACACCTCTCATATCAACCGTTCCGCTTCTTTTCCCGTTCCTGCGCGCACGTTGGCACCGCAGGGATTTCTCCACTGTCCTTTCTTGTCGCGGCATTCGTTATTGCACGACAGACGGCGAACGCCTGGACCGCGTGCTTCGTTCGCCTGCAAGGTAGGTGACAAGCAGACGCCGCCAAGACGTAGGTACTTACCCCCATCCGTCCGGTCCAGGGTTGCTAATGAGTGTCTTTTGAAGCGAGCACGAAGACGCCATGACAACAGGCGACCTGTATGTGTATGCCCCACATGACTACTTGGCAATAAAACGGCTTTTGGGCGGGATCCAGGCTTTATTAGCTGTGAACCATCTTTCTGCTGGCTGAAGCAAGCAAGTGGTCGCTGAATGGGAACACTGAAAATATGTGTTTGCTACCGTTGCTGGATACTCGCGTGAGAACACCGTAGGGTTGGTGCGATAGCTGATTGTGGGGTCGAAAGTTTGACATGAAATGCTGGCATCTAATCCCACTAGCTGCCCTCGAGGTTCGAGTAACTCCCACGTGTTCCAACCCCGCTTGCTTGACCCTCCCCCCCCCCCCCCCCCCCCCCCCCCCCCCCCCCCCCCCCCCCCCCCCCCCCCCCCCCCCCCCCCCCNCCCCCCCCCCCCCCCCCCCCTCTCTCTCACGCATTCGTAGACGACAAAGCGTGTGTTGTGTTAGTGGTCGGAAACCTTGCTGTTGCTCCGGCATATGGTCGTATCCACCTCTCTACACGCTCGCTCAACGATTTTCCGGGGTCCAGCGCGTGCTGTTGGATTGCCTTGGAAGGCGTTTTTTATCATGTTTTTCGTACAGATGGACTGCAGCCCATTGCTTCGCTACAAACCCCCACTCCTCGCCCAAAACTCCACATGACAGGCGGCGGTGACGTGGGCGCGGTGGACGTTTGACGGAGACGGTCTGTGGGCTGTCCATCGGCGGTGCGGCGCGCGCCTCCCGTGTCACTTCAGCGCCCTCGGCGCAAGGTGAGTTGGAAGGGGCGGTCGGTGGGAGCACGGCGGTGTAGAGCGCCGACGCTGACGTGAGTTTTGCGTTTTTTCCCGACGGGTAGAAGCGGGTCACTGTCTAGATATGCATACGATAAAGCAACTTTCGTGCAGTGTCGTCTCTCCTTCCCTTCTTATCTAGTGTCGTAATTTACGAGGCTAAATGTACCGCCCCTCCTTCTCGTCATCACCGCTACACCCGTGGCTTACGTGGTGCATGTATACGTATTTCGTATGTGTTTGTACTTGGCGTGTATACGTACTTGGTTTGTATTCATGGTTCGTATGAAGTACACGTACTTCGTATGGCTACACACTGCCTACACACTTCGTATCTTTGGCGGTGCAACGCATGTGTGCTCAGCGCGGACCCGGCGAGGCGGACATCAAGGAAACGACAGAGGGACATGCGCGAGCCGGGGTGTGTGAGGAACGGGGGGACGGGAGCACGGCAGGGCGTGTCCGTGATGTGTCCGCTTTGTCAGGTGCAGAGGAAGACCGCTGCTGCTGCCGCTGTAGTGTGTGCGTGAGCGTGATGGTCGAGTACGTTTGGGGGAGTTCGTTTTCTCGGCACCTGTGGTGTCTGCTTGCGAGCCGCGACGTGTGTGACAGGTCCAAGAGTTGACGCAACCGATTGGCGGAGTTGCACTCCTCGCACACACGTTTGAGGGTGCGAGAAGAGGTACGCTGGTGGCGTAGTGCAGGCCGGTGTGTCTGCCTCCTTGTCTTCCTCCCAATTCACGTTCGTGCACGATACTGCTGCTGCAGTACTGACTGTGGCATTGATCAGCTTTTGCCACTGGGCTTGCGTTGTTGCGCGTGCACGACGTTTGCTGCGGCAGAGGTCCGTTAGGGTTGCCTGCGCGGACGAAGCGGAGCTGGGATACGCCCCGCTTCTCCTCGCCCTCGACGATGGTACCAGGTCTGTACGTGTGTGGGTCGTGCTTGTGGAAGCAAAACGCGTTGCGTGTGAGCGCGTGCAGGCTGAATTATTCACTTGTGTAGGCTTGTGTAGAGAAGCGGTCACGTGTGTTGGAAACTTCGAGACCACCTTTGTCCCGCGGCAGCACCAAGTTGCAAGCATACGGCGGGGCGTCCTTACCCGCCAATCAAGCTACACGACACGTACCCATGGATGGTAGCTAAAGACACAAGAGCTGCAAGCAGCTGAGTGGCCGTCAACAATGCTCTGATGTTTGTAAACTGTAAACTTGGAACACGAATACACATGCAGTAAGTAGCAGAGCCGGACGTTACATATGCCTTCCCACCGCTAATCACAGCCAACCCTCGTGCGACTGACCCCAGGTGCCTCGTGGCGGAGTGCCGGAGCGCCGTCGTTTCCGCCGCCTTCGGAGGCATGAACGCCCACGATTTCCTACAGATGGACGAGGCCGAGCGAAAAGCGACTGTCGATTCGCTGGTGGGCCGTGAGATTCGTTGCGTCGTAGGCGGCGGCGGCGCGGCGAGCGAAGTTGGCGGCAACGGCAGCGCTTGCTCCAACGGGGGAGGGGGCGAGGGCGACTGGGATGGTGCGGGGCGGGTGGGGCTTCGCGTGGAGCGTATCGCCAGCGTGAACCCGGCGGCTGATCTGGCGTACTTGGTGTCTGCCATGGATGGATAGCTTAAATCGTTATGAGTCTCCCAGTAAGGTTTGAATTGTCCATTCAAGCACCGGTACTGGTTGTTCGTTGCTGCTGAAGGTTGGTGTGGTGCTGAGGGTCTGGTTGTTGTCTAAATGTGGGCGTGTTGCTTCTGCTCGGGTGCAGTCTTGGCGCTACCAGAGGTCAATCGAAAATTCATCGCCTCGATCCCTCAACCTCCGTGATGAGAGAAGCAACGGGACTGCACCTCATGTGTAACCCACTATCGCTAGGCTTTCACCATGGAGAAAGAGTCCAACGTACGTAACATACCAGAGCGGCGAGAAAACACCTGGATAAACCATGAGACTTCATGCAATTATCAACCAATTACACAAGTCTTGAGCCTGCTTGGAGGGAAACCCATGCAAGCATCTCAAGACAGAAGCCCCGCTGCCTGGGGGACCGGTGGGCCGGTCGTTGTCACTGCTTTTTTTTTTTTTCTTCACACCGGAAACAAGTCGCCGATGAGGAAAGCACGACGGTCCTAGTTCATGTTACCCGGACCATCGGGAAGGACGCAAAAACACCCCCACATCACCATTGTGGGGAGTAAATGAATGACGGCAGATAGCCCCCCACCCCGGACCCCTCCGAAAGAGCGACCGCTGCCTTCTATGATGGCGCAAGGTAGTGAGCTCCTCAGTGACAAGAGGAGAGGAGGTGAGGGGGAGCGCACCACATAGAGGCCGTAATTAAAAAATTAAACTAGAAGATCGGGCCGTTGCCTCGGCTGTAACCGGGGCTGGCGCACCAACTCTCCCCCAAGATCTCGCTAACGCATGCACAATCCTAACCCTATTCTACGCATTTGACCAATTTAACCTAGCAGCCTATCGTGCCACATGTCTCCACCCTGTGTCTATACTGTACTGGAGGACAAATAATCATGCCATCGACCTCCAAAAACAGCGCTTGGCCAATCCAACAAGAGACTAGTGAGGAAACCCGAGGCACATCTCGCCTCTGGCGCATCTACGCCAACCCCTTCCCGAGGCATATCGCTCCCTCCATGAGACGACGACAAGAAGTTACTTCCTTCCTGGGGTTGCCCCGTTGCACCCTTGCCACTCACGAGATTTTGCAAGCTCTGGTCCAACCCAAGCGGCGAAGCAACGTGCCACATGAGCGCATCACTCCGAGCACTTCGGAGGGGGGGGGGGTGGCTCCAAATGGCGCAGTGCTCCTATGCCGACTTTGGAATGGATAGCGCAGCAACAGGCAGTGCGCTTTGAGCTTCAACGTAGAGCAGCTCCCATCTTGAGTCGTAGCACTGACACGGGTGTTGCTGCACGGTGGTGCGTTCGCCATCTCGGCCGGACGCGACTGGGTCGGTGACACTTGGAGCTCACGCGCCGATGGCCATGCCACCATCCACGGTGAAGGTCTGTCCCGTGATGTACGCCGCGCTGTCCTCCGTGGCAATGAACCTTAACCATCGGGGAACAGAAAATAGAGGGGCAGACACGCAACACGGCAAGGCACCAGGGTCAGCCAAGTGGGTGACATCCCGGCGGAAGGAGCGCAGTACCGGTCACACTGGAGCAGTGCGGGGCCCGAAAAAAACTCATCGACACAACCTCCGCCTTCAAACCGATGGCAAATCCCATGTACCGCACACAGGTAAACGAGCACGACCCCGCGAAAATAATATAGGCATTGCTTTTTGCTACGTGGCGAACGCCGGGAAGAGGCTCGTCGAGAAAAATTGGCAGGTATAAACATTAGGAAGCACAAACACCAGATTTCGTTTTATCAGACCCCGCCTCTGAAACCGCCGAGAGCGCTACATGATAACGGAAAAAAAGATCGCATGAAGGGTCGCAACGCACGGTTTGAACAAATCACGCTAGCAAAAGCTGGGCAGAGGGAGAGACAGACAGACAGACATACAGACACCACAACACTCACTTGACCATCCCCGCGATCTCATCCGGCTTTCCTAGCCTGCCCAGCGGGATCATCTTCTTGATGGCATCCTGGTCGAGGTCGGCTGTCATGTCGCTCTCGATGAACCCGGGGCACACGGCGTTGACGGTAACGCCTCGAGCGGCGAACTCCCTCGCCATGGACATCGTCATGCCGATCACGCCAGCCTTTTCAGCGTGCATGTGGTGTCGGGAGGGGGAGGGAACACGTGAGCAGCAGCAAGCGAGGTTGATCGGCGCTTCGGCAGTGCCATTCGCTCCGCAATATCGTGGTGCCAGCGCGCCCGTCACCACAACCCGGCCGGGGCCGAGGGAAACAAATTGAATTACGAGAGTGGCATGACGCAGATCTGCACAATCTGCTGTGATTGGTGGCATGCCGAGCGATTTTCTTTCGTCTTCTCTCGCTCTAGCTCTCTTTAGTGGCCTTTCTCCTGTTTGGTTTGCCATGTCTTTAACTTTATTCGTTTTGCGATCTCTCCGCTTTTTCCCCCCTCCCCGTTCCGCTTTTCTCCCCCTCCCCGTTGTTCTTGTCCCCCTCCCCCGTCCCGTATCTCTGGCACCTTCGCGGCGGCGTAGTTAGCCTGTCCGGGGTTGCCGATGAGCCCCACGATGGACGAAATGTTGATGATGCGGCCCTTGCGCTGCTTGAGCATGAGCTTGCACGCCGCCTGGGAGACATGGAACACACCGCTCAGGTTCAGGTCGATCACCTGCCCAAACATCACGAGAGGACAGCAGACGAGAGACAGAGCGAGGGGGGGGGGGGGGGGGGGGGG